ATTAACTATTAATTAGAACATAATATCATACTTTGAAATCAACTTAATAATAATACAGTGAACTAACATATATATATTGATACAAATACAAAATTGCAAATATCTTAAAATTACGTATTATTTAATGATCTAGATTTTTGTACTTTGTAGTTAATAAAGTTAATAAACTAGTTACTTGATTATCCTTTTTTTGGTTAACTTAATTATCCTTGGTGATTTAATAATTGTTGTTCTTCTTCATACTCTCTTTGGCGCTGTTCTTCATCCCGTCGAGCTTGTTCCTGTTTAAGCTTTATGCGGTCACCATATTTTTGCAGCCAGAGTTGTATCCGCTTTTTCACTACTACATCAGTAGTAGCATATTTTTTGGTGATGTAAGCTAAAAACAAATAAAATTTATATAAATATATTATACGTATACAGAGTTGAGAAATTACTTTTTAAAAATAAAAAATGTAACTCACCACTTATTATGTTAGGGAAATTGTAATTTGAAATCTTGATTTTGCCAGGTTTTCGAATGATCCAAGTACATTTGCCTGCCAATTCATCAGTCATGATTGCTGACAAAATTCTTTTGATAGCTTTGTCGAAAGTATCTCCTCCAACAGCACTCATTTTTGCTTCCTAAAACATAACACATTATTAAAATTTATAAATAAAATTATAATATAAATAGTTTAATTATTTTAAATAAATAATTTATTACAAATTGTGATCTCATCTTTTGGTGGAGAGGATTTAATAACTTCTGATCGAATAAAAGCAATTGATCAACTTCATTTATCGGTAACATTTGAAGTTGATCAAATATTCTTCTTGCTATTTGTTCATTATTTTGTGGATTATTGTTTTCATTATTTTGTTGTAGCCCACTTTTCATTATCAACAACAGTTTATCCATTTTTTTAAGTAGCATTAAGAGTATTCTTCGACAAGGAACTGTAATAAAATAATAAATTAGTTATATTAGTTTAATTGATTTTCATGTTCAATGAGATAAATTATAAATAACAACTTTATAGTCTTCTTAAACAATCTGTTTGTTAATTTGTCAATAGCAAGTTAATAAGTAGATTGTTCGAAAAGATTATAATAGTTCTTATTTATAAATATTATAATTATAATTTAAGAGATAGGTAATAATTTTTAAATTTAATTTTATACAGTTACATTAGAATAAATATCGATAATCACTTTTATTAAATTTATCAAAACTTACTATTCTTTTTGAGATGTTCTCTCACACATTCTCTCACATCTTCTACTCTTTTTCTTTTTGACATTATTGCTAATGATAGTTAATTATATATGCTCGTATTTGATTAGTGCAAGATCGCTGTAGTCACAGTTGTCAGTCTTACTAGGTTATATAAAAAAGTCTTAAAAATATGGATAAATAATTTATATTGTTTTTGTTTGTTAATTTATATATATCATTATAAACTTTGCGAAATTAAGATTTAAAATATAAAAAAAATAATTTTTTTTAAGGAAATTTGTCTACCAACAAAATATTTATATTTATATTATTTATATTTATCTTTATAAATATATTTTTTAATAATTGGTAACGTTTAATGATTTTCTTTAAAATTGAAAAAGATCTCATTAAATACTCAATTAATTTGTAATTGGCGCGTGTGAGTATTGTATCTATTATATATAACACATACTTTATTTATGAGACACAATGTGGAATATGTAAATTATTAATAAAAAAATTTAAGATTTACAATGAAGAAGAGGAAAAATATAACAGTTATAAATAATATGACTGAAAGCTAACACGCATCTGCACGACGCACACAATGAGCGCGGGGAACTGCGTTTATTAACTAACAAAAGTTCTCTAATTGATGTCTTATAGAGTTTTCTTGAAGACAACTTACAAAAGATGTCTTTAAAGAGCTCTTTTTGATATATTCAAAAAGTCATCTTTCAAAGGTGCTCTGAAAGTTATCTTTTGCATGCAAAGCATCGAAAAGATGTCAATTTGACAGCTTTAAGAAAATTTTAAAGAGCTCTTAAGGCTCCTGAGTAGTCGCCGTGAAACTCTGAGTTGACGGTGGCGACATGGAAATAAAGATGCTGCGGTAGGAATAAGAACTCTATCCAACGATTTACCATATAAGTGAATTGTGGTACGAATTGGTCAAAAAGTTCAATTGATGAAATAAAATAATAAATATTGTCAAATTAGTGTTGCGAATTGGTCAAACAGTTCAATCGATGAAATGAAATAATAAATATTGTCAAATTAAATAATAAATATTGTCAAACATTGAGGCTCTTGGGTATTTGCCGCGGCCATATGGGAATCGTGATGTCAGAAGCGAGAATGACACGTTGAGAATTCTTGCGTGTTATTTTTAAATAAAAAGATAATTTGATAAAACAACACTACAGATCGCTTTAGCACACTTGCGAAATTGTCCGAAAACTATGCTTTTCTCTTGACAGTTAATAAACAGCCGTAAAATGAGTGTTATACGAAGCATATATGCTTTTAGTATAGTTTTTGAATAATTTTACAAGTGTGCTAAAGCGATGTGTAATGTTATTTCATCAAAATATCTTTTTATTTAAAAATAGCACGCAAGAATTCTTAATGTGTCCTTCTCGCCTTTGACGTTACGATTCCCATGGCCGCGGCGATTACTCAGGAGTCTCAAGAATTGAATTCTTCCTTTTATTGTAGTGTGTGCGTGTGTGTGTGTGTTTTCCTTAACTTTAAAATTCTTTAAAATTGATAGTTCCACAAAATGCTTTGAAATTATTTTCTTAGATACAATATTAAATAATTTTAAATAATTTCAGTTTTTAAAATTATTACAAAAGTTTTTTAATTACAGTGTAAATAATATATTATTGTATATTACAGTATAACTATTACACTCACGCACGTACACATAATTTTTAAACAACGTATAATCATTACCTTAAATTATTCAGACGAGTACAAGTTGGCTTCATGGGGTTTTAGATGCTACTTTGCGAATGCATCAATGATATGATATATTCAGTCTACAGATTATTATCGTGAATTCAAAGTCCTCAATACTTGATGTTTTTAACTTTTAAATGGAATTTTATAAAAAAGAATCTCTGTGCAATATATCTAATTCACTTGTGTTGCTTCCTTTTTAACAATTTTAAAAACTAATAAACTTACTGGATATTAGACATCCTCCTGTAGTACAGACGGATTGCAATCATATCTACCCATTAGAGAATAGCTATTTTGTGAACTCTAACGGTAAGATATAAATGCACCCATATGTACATATAGGTAGTAATTTGCACGATTCCTTATATGTACATAGTGTACAAAGACACATCAATGCTTACTGTTTGTTAAATAAAAAATATGTTACTTTTATGTCAATTTAAATAGCAGCGTTTTTTTTATGTGGTAAGATTTACTGCGCTAAGCGCAGAATGCAGGTGAATGAGCAGAGCTTATTATTTCATTTGTATATTATAAACTGCGTTCAACGCAGAATGCATTTTGATAGTGATCACTGCGTCTAGCGCAGAATGCATTTTAATATTATTTATTTTCTAATTCAAATTTGTTCTTCATTTTAATGTTATTTTAATGCTTGTCTTTCAATATTTCCATGTAAATTTACTTTTTCGTTTTTT